GCACGCACGCACACACACACACACACTTACACACACACACACACACACACACACACACGTGAATGTAAATCACTGGCTGTCCCACAAACAATGGGCATTGGCCTCTGTGGTCATGTGATTGTTGGGTCCTTTGGTATTGATTGCAAAGGGCATGAGTTCAAGTCCTGTGTAGAAGGAAACATTTTTGGCTAAGTGTCTCAGTCTGTCTGCTGGGATGCTACATCTTACTGAGCTGAGGATGGTCTAGATGTAGGGTGGAAGCATCCTATCCCATTTCATGAAGTGTCTTAACTGATTCAGCCTGCAGTGCCGCTCACCGCGGCTGACCGTCTACCTGTGTTTTGACGCAGAGCCGTTCAGAACAGCTCTTATCTATTGCTCCCTTTTCTTCGCATTACTTTCCTCTCGTCTTTTTCTTGACTGCTTACATTTCGGCCCTTTTTATTTTCTCTAGTTTCATTGAATAGTATTTTGTATTCTGGACATTTTTAATATGTCACACACAGGATTTTATCAAATTTAGATGCTTCTTTATATTTTGTGAGACCACACATGAGGTCATGAAGAGGTCACAAATTATTTGTGTCCGGAGTCAAAATTAAATGCAGGCTGAATCAGTTAAGTTGTTTAGAGTAGTTTGTAAAACATTTACAATCAAACACACAAGGCGTACAGCTACCCATCTGGTGGGCATGGGGTTTTGTTGATGCACCACAACCCCTCTTCTCTGCACTTATATTCTGTTTTCTGTTTTACTCTCTCTCATTCTGATCTGTCAACCGAGGCTTTGGTGAATTGGAAAAGGGAGGACCATCCTAACCCCACAATGAAGTGTCACAGTCCGTACCGGCAGTGGGTTGGTCCTGCCAGCATGCAAGGTTGAAGCAGCCTGACTCGGAATGTTCTAGCTTGTGTCAATGGGGATGCAGATCATGAACGGGCTCCTGACTCTTTCTGCAGCCTTTCTACTGCTGCTCCTTGGCTCCTTTCTTACTACTGTCTTTCAGCCACCCCCTTAATCTTATGGTGGGTAAATTATAACACCTGGCTTTCTCGGTTAAGGGCAAAAAAACGCAGAGGTACCGTGTGCTAGTTGCACACGTTAATTAAAGATCCCTTGGTGGTCCAAAAGCGATAAAAGTAGGCTTCGGCAACCAACCAGCAAAAGTCCAAATTTCCTACCAACTGAAAATGTTTAGTGTATCCTGCGCGCTCATATGACTTTGTGCAGTTGCAAGCGGCGTAAAACACGTACGGAAAAAAAATACAATGAACAATAACGGAAAAAAATATAATGACAATAACAATTAGAAAACACAGTCAAACCTACTCTAAAGGCCTCCTGCATTATAAGACAATTGTTGGTGGCTGGGGGATATCCTGGTGTGGTTTGCTCCTTCTTTCCTATCAAATATCTGTCGTCCTTATCTTTCCTAATTTTTTCTCTGTGCGTTTGATACTCTCTTGTTATACCTCTAATCTTCAGCAGTTTTACAACCTTATTGCATTGCCAGTGTCGTAAAACTCTTACGAAAAGTTTTCAAAAACCTAAGAGAATCACTTGTACAAACGGCCACTGCCCATCCTCACTAACATATTTTTTTACAGTAAAATGACACTGTGTAAGACATCTACCTCTGTCTTATACAGCCACTTTTCTCCTCTACAACGGGTGGCCGTCTTACACTGTTTCAACTGTACTAATAATTTGATTGATTTTTTTTCTGCTGTCCAGGATGTCGACTAGCGTGCAGTACGTGCAGCACCAGGACGAAGATGAGGAGGATGACCTTGGTCAGCTGACACACACACAGGTCATCTACTCACAGATGAGGGCCAGAGGGAAGCACTGGCCCAAGGCTATTGGTGTGGTAGAGATAATCATCGGCTTCATACTCACAGTGCTTGGTATGTTCTCGTTGTTGTTTTCTTGTTGATGCAGTTGTTTTTGATGCCAGTGATCTCTCTATTTCTCTCTCTCTCTCTCTCTCTCTCTCTCTCTCTCTCTCTCTCTCTCTCTCTCTCTCTCTCTCTCTCTGTCTCTGTCTCTCTCTGTCTCTGTCTCTCTCTCTCTCTCTCCTTTCCTCCTCCCCCCCCGTCTCTCCCCTATACAGTGGTCTTCATTTTAGTTTTGTGTTAAGTTTTCAGAGATTGCTGAAATAGTAAAGAAAAAAATCTGGGGCTCTATTTTATTCCACTTTACCGCCCGTTTCGGATTTACTGTGCCCAGTTTAAGCGGACTCGACTGTGTATGTGAGGCATCGTGGTAAAACCAGGGGCTCGTCAAAATAATGAAATCGAAGATATCCGCATTTTTCCACCGGTTGGGCAATTTTAATCAAATTGTTGTGTTTTTGGCGCGACACCTTTTATGTCCATTTAAGAACACATGTCAGTGTGGATTTTACGGAAAAAGCACCAAAAAATGGACGTACATTTGCAGTTTCCAAAAACTCTCAAACTTTGGAAGTCACCAAACTTTGGCTGCCATTTTATCGCTTATATTACATCTGACACCTGGCGGTCCCCACCTACTTCAATCGCAAACTTCTCGACTTCTTTTCAATATAGATCTATTTTTTTTTCTCACCCAAATGAAGGCAAATGAACAGGCTTTAAGGTGATACCAATAACCTTATAACCCCCTATGCCCAAAAATTGATGAGCGCCTGTTTACACCACATCATGACATATATATATATATTATTACATAGGTATACTGACTCTTGCTTCTGGCTTGGTATTCAGTAGTGTTGTGGGAACAAATGTATAGTACAAAGTGCAACCTGTGCAACATTTTCTATTCAGAAGATCAGGAAGGGAGGGAGAGAGAGAGAGGATAGCAGCGTTTGGTGACAGTAT